CCTGGTCTTGGGAACAAGTGGAGGAGAGAAAGTTAAACCCTTGGACTCTCAGTGTGTTGTAGTGGGGTGTAACTATGAACCAGTTTAACTGAGCAGATGTGCAGCTTAGCATGACACCATACCTCACAATATAAATGATGTGTTGTTGCTATAAATTTCTACATCACAGATTTCCATGTCCCCTCAATTGCAAACTCTGTATTAGGCCTGTCTTCTTTTCCCTTGGTTATTGTAAAGGCTGGAGGGCTCATAAACCCTCAGGAGCATTGCAAAAACATGCAGGTAAGGCTGCAAGTCTCCCTTGTTGTCCCGTCTATCTCTGCTCATGGCTAACTTCCCCCAGGAACCAGATAGAAGAAGTTGTCCTTTTGGTGTTTTTTGAACTAGCAAACAAATGAGACTTAGACTTTTCAAGCTGCATCTGTTGCAGAGAAGCACAAGAAAATTCTCTGTGAATGATTTCAGTTATATCAGCCCAGCTCAGGGTGTGCAATTCTGAGTAAAGGTCAGAGCTACTCTGAAAAATTAGTGTCAAAAGATGTCTTCAAGCTCTTTCACCAAAGAAACAGCACACTCTGGACGGTTCTTATGCAAGCAACAAAAATCATACTCAGGTGGAGAGTCATAGAATCATGTAATGGTTTGGGTTGGAAGGAAAGTACATCTAGTTCCATCCCTCTTCCATGGGCAGGGATGCCACCCACTACACCAGGTTTCTTCAGGTCTCATCCAACCTGGCCTTGAACACTTCCAGGTATGGGACAGCCACAGCTTCTCTTCTTCTTTCCTTCTGTGTCAGGGCCTCACCACCCTCACAGTAAAGAATTTCTTCCTAATATCCAATCTAAACCTGTCTTCTTTCAGCTTAAAGACATTCCTCCTGTCACTACATACCCAGACGAGTTAAGCAAGACCCAAGACCTCTCCATCTCTGCTAGTAACGCTCCTGTGGCTGCAGCCATGGATCTAGTTTGCCTTCATTGCTGCAGTGCTGCACTGCTGACTCATGTGCAGCTTGTTGCCCACCAGGACCCTCAGGATCATGCCAACAAAGTTTGTCCTGAGAACATTTTCTATTTTCTAGGTTTTCTTTTGGAAAAATTATATAAAATGTCAAAAACCTCTAGATATAATGGTAAACTTATATTATATTCTGACTGAAAATAATGATTAAAAAGCCAAGTTTTATTCCCTATTCATCTTTGTCTAGTCACTTTGTACTTGAATGATTCTTCAACTTTCATATCTAACCTTCCATTTACAGATGCAAGCAAACAAATGACTCAATTTCCAGGAAATCTGGGCAGCAACAATTTGCTTTATTTCTCTGGAAAAAGAAAACCCCACTCAAGTTACCAATATCACTGCAAGTGCTGCCTCAAACAGTTCTTGAACAGGAAACACTCATCTCCTGATCCAGCCTCCTGCATTGTTGGGTTTATTGTTTACTATATCTCCAACACTTCAGGCTCTTCAGGTGTAGAGGGCTACAGTCATTCAGGAGAGTTCAATAAAACCATGGGAGGTTATCACAGGACATTTGCCTACTTTATATTGAAGTTTCAAGTTTTCTGACAGTCTTCAGTTTACTTTCCAAAGATCCCTGTCTTTCATGTGTGCATATGGCAGAGGAAAAGCTGAATTTGCTAATAAAATATTTCTTGTGCGTCATTCAAGGTTTTTAAGACATGAAATGTGGACAGTCCCGACCTGAAATAAACATCAGTGAGGCACTAGAGCAGGTGCCCAGAGAGATTGTGGACTCCCCATCCCTGGAAGTATTCAAGATCAGGTTGGATGGGGCCTTGAGCAAGCTGTGAAAGGTGTCCCTGCCCTTGGAAAGGGTTTGGAACTAGATGGTTTTTAAGGTCCCTTCCAACCCAACCCATTCTATGATTCTGTGGTCAACACATAGAAAAAAACCATTTTGGCAGTTCCCAATGACCTACCTGTTTGTCATGTGAGAGCACAATCCCTCTGCCCAAAGCCAGACTAGGTGTTCCTCAGGCCTGACTCTTCCATCCTACCACAGCTGACTGGTAGGTGTTCGTGTGTGTCAGTATGAATGATGAGGTCTTCCATGGATTTCTTATACCCTCTTCATGAATATCTTGGAAACTTGTGTGCCAGTACATGACTGTTGCTTCCATTACCCACCTCCCCCCATTACAATACTCAAGGCCTTTCAGGGTAGGAAAATCATGGTATTTTGCTTGTGTTTTAATGAATATTTTTATTGCAAGCCAGGAAATAATCAGCTGTGTGAGCTGTGCTTCGAATTAAAATCTTTATGCTACAGAAGAGGACAGTTGGTTTTTTCCCTCACCCTGTTTGGTTTATCTGCATGGAGGTTTAACATTTTTTTACCCTGCCAAAACAAATCACTTTCCGTGGTGGAATTCTTTTTTTCTCTTTACAGTCTGGACATGTAGAAAAAAAATGTAAGAACAATCAATGACAGCTGAAAGATGGATACATCTTCTATTGAGTAAACAAAGTTACTGTGTATTGGCAAAAAGTTCCCTGCATTGGATTCTTCATTGGACTCAAGTTCTCAGCCCCAATAAATCAGTATACTGGACTTCTACTTAGTCAATGTTTCTAGACAGCAATGAGAGAGCATCACATGTTGAAGTGTAATGAATCGTATCAGTAAGTAAGTCTACTCCCAGCCTGTGCTAGAATCTATCAATATAACAAAGTGGCTGTCAGCCTGATGTGCAGATAGACAACTCCTTTAATGGATGGGTGCATCCTCCCCTCCCCTGTGAAAATACCCTGAGCTGGCAGAAAAGGAAAGTAAACCTCATTTTTTGCCATGGGCCTGTTTGAGGCATGTACGTCAAGAGCAGAAGGTTTTGTGGGGAGGAAGAACGGGGGACTTGGATCATGAAACAGCTTAAACCACCCAAACAGGAGATTTTAACCACCTAAATCTATGAGGCTTAGAAATTCTCTTCCCACACTGATAGCCCAGAGTCTGTTTTGATCAAGTACTATTTCTGATTTTAATTTGGGTCAGCAGGATTCCTGAATAGTCCAGCTAGACTTGATATTCAGCCCATTCTACCTTTCTTTTTTGGGTGGAATTTTTACCCTAATATATCTAGAAAAAATGAGATTAATTACATCTGGTGAGGCCCAATGACTAGACAGGGATCACTGTGTAAATTAGTCATGTCTCTTGTAGACTGCTGTATTAAACAGGATGCATATGATTAAGCAAGAAGAGCCCTTCATGTCCAGAAGACTTAGTTTGTACAAAGTAGGCAAGATCTGGAGTGGGAAGAGCAGCAAAGGGGAGGTCACCAACTTTGTTTGTCAACATAAGCTAGAGTCAAACACAGAATTGCTCAGTGGTGGACTGGTCCTTTACCTGTTAGGCTGTGCTACCTTTCCATCAACATTAGAGAGATGAGGAGAGAATGTCCATGAAATCTTTATTTCCTCCCCAAAATTCTTTGAACAGCTAGTGTTTAAAATGACCTAGATGAAGATAATGAATGTCGGTTGGGAGTCAAGTCCTAATGAGGTTATAGAAACTTGTGTGGATAATTTTTGGCGCCTGTGTCCTCGAGGCTGGGCATTGGATGGGGCCAAGTATTAATTTTTGGTTTCACAGTCAGTGGATGATTTCTTAGTATAACTGGCAAAAAACCCAGTCTGTTGTTCTAGTGCATATTCCCTTGAAACCTGTCAATGTCATCAAAGCTCTGCAGTTGTTTTTCTGTAGGATCAGCCATCGCCTGCTTAATCAAATTGTGTTGCTTTGTCCTCAGGCTCTGTGCAGGGAGCAGATGGCACTTTTGTGTTTTGCCACAAAAATGGTTGGCCTCATCATAAGGGGGAAGCTGGCAAGACACATGGTAAAGGTTAAACTCGATGCTCTTGAGTCTCTTTCCAACCTTAATGATTCTATGATTCTAGAAATTACCATTACCATAGGAGATGCTCAAATACTGTTTGTGGTGTTCATTTTCTCAGAACCTTGTTGGCATAACCAGCAGGTACCACACTGGATGTAAGTTGAGCTTTTCTTGAGAATAACAACTTCATCATGAATAAAATCGGCTCCTTTTTCAAGACACTCACTGCAATCTTCTTTAAGCAGAGAGTGGTGTCCATGCAAAGATGGAACCTGAAGGAGAGGATGACTAGGAGAGTGAACAGTATTCCTGTATATGAAGTAGAACAGCCTGAGGTGCTGCTTGTCCTTTTACTTAAGCAAACTGAAGTACAAAACTGTCTGGGGGACTCCACTGACAACTTCCAGGCTTGTGACTCAGTTTGGCAAAGCTCACATACCCACTTGGTCAGGAAATACTAGGAAAGGACATAAAACTCTCATCACCTGTACATTGTTTGTGAAGGGGAGTAATTTTTGAAGACAAAATTTTAAGGGTGCTTGGTAGAGAGTGCCAAATGCACTCTCAGGGAGTGCTGAATTGCTTAATTTCCTCTCAAAGATTGCCCCAAAGCTGATTCTGTTAACTAAGGATGCTTTATGCTCAGCCCTGTGCTCAGTGACTCATTTTGCCCCAGAGGATCACAGCTGCTACTTGAGTTCTTTGCTGAATTTCTTATATGTCTCCAGGATATGCATCATCAAGTCATTTGCAAATCAGAATGCAGACCTTGCACTGGCACCAGGAGCCAGAGAAAAGCCAACTGCAAGATACAAGCATGGGCTGAACTGTGGAGCTTTGTACTGTTGCAACAGGTACCAGATGGAGTCTTTGCATCATATTCACATTCAGCTTCAGATATGGCAAACTTGGATGTTCCAGCCTCAAGTTTAGAAACACACAGTCCACTAGGGCCAAATCTGTGTTTGGATGGATGGGAAACAACACATTTGAAAGCAAAAAGCAAACAACGTTTGGGAGGCTGATGTTGGGGAACTGTTCTAGCCTTTAGTGGTTGAATAAGACCTTTCAGCTTCTCTGTAGCCTGATGAAGGAGGGTTGAATTCCTCAGAAGAAGGCAAAGATGTCCTTTTGTCAATTCTTAAAAAGTTTTGTATTTTCTGTCAAGAGTCGCCTTCACTCTGCCTGAAAACACAAGTTGAAGGACCCAGCCCATGAGCACAATTCCTCACTGACCTTCAGAGCATAGAAACAGAGAATACTGACTTGGAATGGACCCACAAGGATCACTGAAGTCCATCTTCCGATACGTAGTTGCAGTAAACATCAGTGGACTGCATCAGCCGGTGTATCAGATAGCTGAGCTCCCCAGTGATAATGTTGATAAAGCAATCCCAAGTCCCTTGCTCCCACTTCACAAATTTTTCCTAGCTGGTCTCAGTGGAAACTTCTTGACACCTACCCTGCAGATTTGGTGGTTACTCTGCCAAGACAGTGCTTTAAAAAGCTTTGTTCTGTAGGAAAAATGAGGTTTGACATGTGCAGGTCTGACTATCAAAGGAATACCCCTCCCACAAGATTTCAATGGGTCTGTTGCTCTCATTACCATGCTCGTGGTAACTTCAAAAGCTGTTATTTGTTTCTGTCATCTGACAGAATAAACAGTTTATTTTTTTTTTCCATGTATATAATTAATCATGCCTTTTATTTCTGCTCAAAAAGGCACTTTTATTTATTTATTTATTTATTTATTTATTTATTTTAACTCTATATCCAGAAAAATCCTATGAGTGTTTCATGCGGACAGATTCCATATGCATCTGCTCCTGGACATTCATTACCACTGTATGATAGTTCAACAGAGCCAAATGGAGGGTTTTTTTAATTTCCTGACTGGACATATAAAACTGAATTAAGGACTTTTAGTGGTGGATAAGATTGAAGCATTTGAATGTTTCATTTTGAATTAGGCTGATGGGATGCGGAGACATGTACTTACTTTTTTGAAGCTCCTTCACAAAATCATGGGTAGATTTTGCAATAGGTGGAGCAAAGGAAGATGAGTAGCACTCCTTTTCTGCTCAGGAAATCCACTCCTGAGGCTGAACAGAAGAATGAAGCAACAGTAAGGGAGAACATAGAATCACTGAATCATAGGCCCACAGAATCATAGAATGGTTTGGGTTGAAAGAGACCTTAAAGATTATCTAGTTCCATGGGCAGGGACACCTTCCACTAGACTGGGTTGCTCCAAGCCTCATCCAGCCTGGCCTTGGGCAATTCCTGGGATGGGGCATCTGCAACTTCTCTGGGCAACTTGTGCCAGTGCCTTACCACCAGATTTTGGTGTGAGTTGACAAGTATTAGGGAAGAAAGAGAATCTAAAAAATAAAGGAAAGCATGCAAAGGCATATGGTCATGACTGATTTCCTTCTGCTCTTCACAGAGTGGTTTATCTAAACATGAGACTTTGGTACCTCTTAATATTTCCTGGGATTCCCTCCAGCCGCTGTTTGAGCAGGACTTGGTTTGTTGCATATTCTTTATCACACCAGACTGGCACAGTAACTGAAGGTATTTCATATACATTGGAATGTCTGAAATGTCACTAAAAAGCTTCTTTTTAAGCAACTAATTGGAGTCACAGTGCCATGATTCAGTCTAGGATTGTCACATAAATGTGGCTGTCTCAGTTCCCACCAGAGTTAATGGAGATCTAGTCAACATAGTCAGTGGATATTTAGGATGATTTGTCTCACCATGAAGTACCAGTAGTTTCTGGAACAGGAAACAGCAAAGCCAGAGAGATCGGGCATAAGCCTCATGAAGCCCATATTACCTGTGCTACCTTTTCCTGTTGGCTTTTACTCTGGAAAAAACTCGAGCTCAAAGTCACTTAATTTTAGCTATCTTCTGTGATCTAAGTGTCTAGACTCATTTTATACTAGCTGGCAAGAAATCAGAACTCCAGGGTCAGACACATCTGATAGATTTTAAATATCTCAGTAGATGTATAAAAAAGGTCAGATGAATCAGGTCCCAAAAGAGAGTGTGTTACTAATTAATACTCCCTTTTGGCCAGCTGTAAAATCCGACAAAACTTAGAGGATTATTGTAACTTTGAAACATTTACATCTCTACCAAATGGGGTTTAAACTGCCTTAGGGTTTGCTTCTGCAAGAGCTGATGGGGCGAAACGAGGGAGCGAGATTGTACAGGCACTGAAAGATGGAAGGACCCCTGAAGATAATTGCCTACAAAACTCCATGAAAAATGCTGCAAGTGAAGCAACCATAAATACATTGAGGAGACAAAGCCAATACACATTAAAGATTCATGGAGTGCTATTCATTTGTGCTCTCTCTTTTGGCTCTGGATAGGCAGATATATGAATTCAACACCAGGTAAAGCCCCTTTAATGATGGACAAAGACTCATAAATCCCAGGAAACTTTCCATAGTTCGCAAGGAGGATTTCTTTTGTCCCACCATTTGTTTTCCCATACAGTTAGAAGAGCAGAAGATGTATTACACTCTAAACCTACCTACTGACTTATGTAATTTAATTTCGCATTTAGTGAGCTCATTTCCTTTCACCAAAGGGGCAAACACCTGCTTTTTAAAATAAATGCTATTTCTATGTGAGTTATTTTGGCAAATGACCCCTCACAAATATCACGGACTCACAGACACAAAATGGGAGGACTGGAAAGAATAAAGAGACCACTTGGTCTGTCTTGTGTCTGGGCAACAGATACAACAGAGGAGATGAGGACCTAACACGGACAGGTAGAAATCAAAACCTCCACCAGATAGATTGCAAAAAGGAAACAAAACACACACAAAAAAGTGATTTAAGAAACAGAACTTCAAAGTGATTATATCATTTCCCAGAGGACTCTCAGGGCATTGTTCTTAAAAGTAGAGGAGCAAGAAGGAAAAAAAGCAACACCCTAAACCAAACATGTTTAGTGATGAACAGATAACAGAACATTAACACTAATTTGCCTTGTGAAAGACCATATGAAACAAAGATGAAAAAGAAAGAACATGCTCATCAGAAGCTCAAAGAAGAGACATGGCCTCATAAACTAAAGATGACTTTTTCCATGCTTCAGGAAGGAGTTTATCTGCTATCAGAACCCATTTATGCTATTTCCTTTTTTCCCCTGACGCTTTCAAAGACTGAATCTTATTTTACTATCCAGCTGTTCCGTTCCTACAGTATCCTACTCATTAGAGTGTATTGATAGAAATTAGTTAATTGGCTAATGGTATGAAGAGACTGAAGATGCATTTTTTGTTGTAGATATGAGGAACTTTTAGGTGTTCTCCAGGTAACAAAAGCTTCATGTTCAAGGAGAAATTTTCTTCTGGACTTGGAGTTTGGATATTCAGCCCTGTTCTGCCTGAACTGATGGGCATGTGGAGAGGGAGAAATGAATCACTTAACTGAGGTATCTGCAGAGGATGCATGTTCTTTGAAAATCAGTAGAGAGAATAAGGTTCCTGCAGAAGGTCATTTAGATGTTGAGCTGTTTTAGATGGCTACGGATTGTGAGTGCACACAAGCTCTTTCAGATGGGCAGAGATATTTAGGCAGACCTTCTATAGGGGAAAGAGTTCTCCCTATCCATAAATGGCAGAATGAAGATGCTGATTAAATGTAATGCAACTCTGTGCATGTTTTCTGCTTCTGAAGTGAACAGAACTACCTTCCTAAATTGTTATGTACTTCCAATACAGAATAGCAGATGATTTAATAAAGGAGTTCTCATACCAGAAATTTAGTATACTGACCACTTTGATGAATGCTAGATAACAAGAGAATTATCTCATTTTGCTGCAGTTTTCTCTTAGTTTCTGAATGACATTTCATTTTTGTCTGTCTTTAGGGAACATGTTGCTTCTGCCAACCATCTCTGTGTTTTGTATTTAAACAGTTCCTCTAGTTTTGCAAACCAGTTGGCATGGAGACACACCGGTGCATGTGATGCAATGCTGTGACCTCAACAACTAACAGTGTGGGGACAGAAAAAGAGAGGGAAAGTGTTGAGCCTGAGCACTCTGCACTCGTTTTCCGTATCTCTTGTATTGAAAAGTGATTACTGGGTGAAACCTAAAAGCTTAGAGCATGTGCTTTCTCCAGAAACAATGAATCAAAGTAGTGTGGTTTATAGAGTGAAAGCCTGCTGGGTGCTTGCAACCTAAGATATCTTTGAGAATTTCAGGAATTCAGATGTTTTCCATTTGGGAAATAGTGTTTCCTGGTGCTGGTGAGATGCCTTTGAATACACTATGGTAGTGATGTACTTTTTCTGCTTTCTTACTTTCTGCTACTCCTGGAATATTTGGAGAAAGGTTCAGTGGAGCAAGGAGAACCCCAGAGTATTTGTTCCTTGAACCCAAAATCTGCTGGAGCTTCTAATTTCTTTCCAGTTCTTTTGTCTTTGGCCTCTGCAGGAACAAATGAACCGTGATTAATGCTGATGAAAGCATTAAGGAGATGATTTCCTCTCCTCCCATGAAAATTATTGATTGGAACGCAGTCTGAGAAGACCCAATTAAAACTATATCATGTGGCTTTATTTCCTTCACCATCTATATAAAGACAAGGGGCATCTGCTATTCTCTTTCTCTCCATTATTTAGGTTGCAAAGTAGGCAGTCAAAGCTGTTCTCATTTGGGGTATCAGTTTTGTTACAGTTCACACATTTATCTCATTTTTAAGAGGTGTGGGTAACCACTTTTTTCCCCTTAGCAACAGATAACAAGCTCTCGGTTGTACTGTGTGTGCTTTGGGTGACTTCACCATGAGCAAGGCTGCGTTACCTGTTAAATTAAGACACAAAGACTGGGACTGAAGAAAACTGAGTAGAACTTGTAAATTAAAACATTTTCTCTAGATCATCTATACTTCTGACCTTTTCTTTCCAGAAAACTCAAGATCCTACCTTGTTCTGTGGGTGGGAGATATTTTAATAAGCAGTGTATAAATAAAATAAAAAAAAAATTCTCTGGAGTTTAGATACCCATTTGCAATTGTCCACAGCAATCATAATAGTTCAATCTGTAAAGGGCAGTAAATATGGAAATTTCTTGCAAGAGGACATTCCTACAGTACTAAAAATATTTTTTTTATTCCTTTCTCCACTGAAAGAAGAAATATGTTTTGCATTTAAAAACCATATCCGTAATTGATGCGGAGAGGGCAATCTCTGAATAGCTCAGTAGTAAGGAAATGCTCAGTCCTGTATCTTTCATGCCACTGGAATTTTTCTACTGACTTCTGGGGAGTAAGATCAGGTCCATGGACACTTTTTCTCTACATCCATGGTTTTGTTCACAGTAAGTGAATTTTTTTTCTGAACAGTTTTATCCCTATCAACACAAATTCTTTAAAATGTGCTTAATCAGCTTAATTTGCTATTTCAGCTGGCTGCACCAACCTGTTTGTAAGAACAGAAAAGCAATCACTCAACATGCCTGGTATTGTCTCAGGCCAAAGTTACCTTGGTTTAGCTAAGCCTCTTGAATTCTAATTTTGACTGTCCAGTCTCCTGCTGAGTCTTGCCAGTCTCCAGATTAGAAGTCACTTGTCCATCAAAGTTCTGAGAACTTCCAAGAATCAATCCTACATGAGCTATTACAGTATATGAAGGCACATCCTATTTTTCACCAGATTTGCCTATCTTGAGTGAAGGGTTATGAAGCCATTAAAGTACCTTCTATGTCACTGCACAGGTATTTATAAGGAGCACATTGACAGCTATTCTTTCATTTTTATCTTGTTCTGAGGTTCTGATGGATGAGTTTGGGTGTGGTTCACTCAGTTTCTTTAAAATCTTGCCATCCTTGGATGCCTTTTTCACCTTCAGGTCTTTCTATCCTAAGCTTGTCCCATCAGAGTTGGCAGAACAAAGTTACATCCACGCTTTGACAGCACCAATACCACTTGCAACTGCTGGCAGTGGTAAGACTGCATTGAGAACTGGACAGAATTCAACAAAGATCTGCATTTTGACTTAAGTTAGGCATGTTGGGAAGGTGGACTGAAGTAATCCAAAAAAATGTCTGTATAATTATACTTGTTTGATGTAAGGAGT